TGTGGTTTGTGAGGGGGGGGGGGGGGGGGGACCTCACACTTTTTGGTTTATTTTCTGCAGACTTTTAAAAAAAACACCAGAAACAAAAATTTAGAAAACAGGTTTTTTTTTCCACCTTTGTCACTTTACTGCAACAAAATTTCATAGACGACCGCTGACGAATTGGGTCAGAATCAAATTTCAGACCTGAATCCCGAAACACAAAATAACATAAAAACCAAATGAAAATAAAACAATTTGTTTTTGCAGGTGCACATGTCTACCTGTCATCGCCACCATGTGCTTCTGAGGGACGCCCATGACCGGGAGCAGTCCCTCCTCCTCCATAAAAATCAGACACGGTCTGCAGCCCCATGATTCAAATAAGGCGCGACCGGAAGTGACGTATCGCTACGCACAGCTGAGCCTGTGCTCTCCATCTGCCTCACTTAACATGGCAGCTGCGAGCGGACGGTCACGTGACCCATACTTTCGCTCTGATGTCCATCGGTGTTAATATGGGGGTGACGTTTTCAGGTGTGTGTGTGTGCGCCCCCGGAAAGTGGGGGGCGGTACACAGTTTGTTCAGTATATCCTCTCTGCGCTCCATTCACACAGCCTGGTTGAGGGAGTCTGCGAGGCATGGGGCTAATCAGAATCAGGACGCCCACTTTAAGAATGAAGTGTAATGAACGCCCCACCTGTAGCAGTCATGAAACGGTCTTCTTTTTTTTTCACACTCCCCACCAATTGAAATTTTATCGTTCTCTGCACCGAGAAACGCCTACTGCCTTGTGTAGCTGGCATTAGCCCTTAACAAACATGGCGCCCGCCTGCATCGTTCATCGGCACCATCGGCAGTCGATGCGGTAGCCTGAGTGACGTCACACCTCTCCCGCGAGCGGCAGCTTTTAAAATATGTGCTTGAAGGCGAGAGCCGCCGGTACCGGGAGGGGGCGGGGCCACGACATGGAGGAAGCTGGGGCGGTAGAAGGGTGTTATCGGGAAATGGAGGGGTAACTGAGCCACTGACGAGTGAAGGCGGAAGAGGGAGGATGGTTGTTAGAGAATAGTGGGGTATTATTATGGAATGGGGGGTATTAGGACACGGTGGAGGGGTATTATTATGGAATGGGGGGTATAAGGACACGGTGGAGGGGTATTATTATGGAATGGGGGGTATTAGGACACGGTGGAGGGGTATTATTATGGAATGGGGGGTATTAGGACACGGTTGAGGGGTATTATTTTACATGGAGGAGTATTAGGACAGATTGGTGGAGGGTAGAGGGTGTTATTAGGCAGTCTGGGAGGGGTTTTGGGGTCACTAGGGAGGGGGAGGGGCAGTGTGATATATTCTAATAACCTCCATGTTATATATGGAGAGAGATGATCCCTGTAGGGGGGGTCATGATTCCTCAATACATATGCGGGGTCGGCTTCCTCATTGCTCTGCACTCTTCCAATGTCATTGTGTCTTTTTAGGTCCGCCATGTCCGCCAAGACAACAGACGACGACGAGCGGGCTCTGTTCTCCTGTATGCAGGAATTCCGCAGCCGCTTCATCAGCCAGAGCAACGAGGAGACCTCCGTCCAGGAGGCCAGAGACCAGTGCAAGGAGTCTGTGAAGGAGCTGACAGGTGACTCCCCATGGTGACCGGTCTGCCCCTCCCCGTGGTGACCGGTCTGCCCTCCCTCCCGTGGTGACCGGTCTGCCCCTCTCCCCATGGTGACCGGTCTGCCCCTCCCCGTGGTGACCGGTCTGCCCCTCTCCCCGTGGTGACCGGTCTGCCCCTCTCCCCGTGGTGACCGGTCTGCCCCTCCCCGTGGTGACCGGTCTGCCCCTCTCCCCGTGGTGACCGTCTCCCGTGGTGACCGCTCTGCCCCCCTCCCCCGTGGTGACCGCTCTGCCCCTCCCCTCGGTGACCGCTCTGCCCCTCCCCTCGGTGACCGCTCTGCCCCCCCCCGATCTTTGACGCCATCTTGTTTTTCTACCCTGAGGTCCTAATTGAGAATATTGCTTTTGTTTCCTCTCAGAGATTTGGGCCGGGAAGTACCGAGAGGGAGAGATGATGATTGAGAAGGTTCTGGAATTCAGGAAAGGTGAGGACCGGACGTCGGGGTTCTGGTGGGTCGGATCTCTGTGTCATTTCTCCGTCCGCTCCATTCACCCGGCTGTCATTGTGACATATGAGGGGGGGGAGGGGGGACTACATACCATCCATGAAGTTCACTGGTCACGTGTAGCGTGTTGGTGACGGGGGATGGGACTGACATGTATGTTCTCTGTACATAGATATGGATCGGCTGAATAAACGCATGGAGGAGAAGCAGGAGGACATCATGCGGGAGATCGGCAAGCTGAAGGACAACGAGAAGCAGAGCGCGGATCTGGCTGAGCTCATCCGGAACCTGCGAGAAGATCTGACCCAGAAGAAGGAGAGTGAGTCCGAGCCCGGAGCTCTGTGTGCACAGGACTGGAGCGCCAGTACCAGACAGCCGCCGCCGCCCAGTGAGGAGGATCCGTCACCATGGTAATGGGATTTCCTCTTCTGCTTTCAGTGGCGCTGGCCAATCGGAGAGCAAACAAAGACAAACTGAGGGAACTGCACAAGTCCGCCTCGTTATTCAAAGATCGCCTGGGCCTGGAGATCCGGAAACTGCACGGTACCGGCAACGGGGGATGGGAATCCACGAGGGGAGCAGAGAGGGCGGCCACCCCTCCCAAATATGACTCCACCTCCTCCCAAATATGACTACCCCGAGTCCTCCGCCCCTCACCTCCTCCCAAATATGACTACCCCGAGTCCTCCGCCCCTCACCTCCTCCCAAATATGACTACCCCGAGCCCTCCTGCCCCCGACACGCATGCCACCAAGTCAGCGCTCCTGACCTGCATACTGGAGGACCATCCGAGCCTCCCACCTCCTTGTGACTCGTTCTCGGGACGGATCCGACGTCTTTGATTTTCAGTCCGCCAACCAGATCCCATGTCAGTGACCATGAGAGGAGTCCAGTCTCTGCACCAGAGGAGCTTACACTCTAATGCCCCCCCCCCGCGCCCACCCATGC